GCAGGGAGGAGTTTCTCAGAGCTGGTTGCTATGCCTCCAGTTGCTCAGTTTTCTGGGGCTCCTCAAGCAGAATCCCTTGTATGTGCCCTCGCATCAGGGTCTGCATCTAGCACTTTGAAGCTCCTCTGAGCCAGACCCTTGGGTTCTCCTCAGCTAGGAAGAGCTGTGCTGGCTCTGCAGGTCATGGAGGATAAGCTGGATTCCCTACCTTTGTGTGCATCAGCAGAGCTGCTAATTAGGCCCAATCTGGCTCATTCAGGCAAAGCTGTGCAGCCAGGAAGACAGCACAGATGTCCCTGTGACGGGGTCTGAGCTGGCAGGGTGCTGTGCAAAGCTTTTCTGTGTTGCATGCACCTACTGAGACCTCTGCTGCTCCCGTCCTCCCTGTCCCTACTATGTGCTCTGATCCTTTCTTTATATTGACATTTGTGTGACCTTGTGGGGGGCTGTCTGGGCCAAAATGTTCTCACAACCTCACCTAACCCCAAAATTGGCTATACCCCTTTTTTTGTGTTGAGGAGGGGGGCAGCTCTGACCTGCTCTGTCTCAAACTGAGCTGGAATCAGACCCATTAGAGTTCCTATGGGGCTGCTGGGGGAATTCTGATGCTTCTCTGCCAGTATTTTAGAGAAGGAAACTGAGGCACAGTGTGATGAAGCAGCATGTGATGAAGCCTTAGCAAGAGGGGTTTTCAGCCTCATGGGAGATGCAATCCAAGGGTACCAGCCATCTCTACTCTCAGCCAGGGCTGTTTGCAGACCCTAGGACCCCTACCCCTGACTGCAGAGCTTCAGAGCTGCACAAGATGCCAGTGCTCACCAAGGTTTCCGACCCTATAGATCTCCCATAGGGCCGCTAACAGAGTCCTTTCAGCCTCAAGTCCTGGCATGTAAAATGCTTCCAGCTGCAGAGAGGCTGTGTCCTTCCCCTCCTCCCTTGTGTTTCATTGATTAAGAGTGCTGGGCCTCATTGGGGGATTTAGGAAGAGCTAATTGCAGACTGGTAATTGAAGACAGCTTGGAGTCTCTGGAAATGTCAAGGAATGGGAGACGAGCTCAGATGCTCCTGTGCATTTAAATATGCATCACCAGCTCAGCCTCAGCCCTGCTGACAGGAGATGTCTGGTTTTCCCTTCCCCCAGAGCAACCTGTGTGGCTGCTGGGAAAAACAGGGAATGCAGATCCCACCTTGCTCCCACTGAAGAAGAGGTGAGACTGGCACAGGGGTGTTAGTGGGAAGGGACAGGCTGCTGGGTGCAGCCCCTCTTGAGGCTGCAGCATACTTCTCTTGCTTCCCACTAATGTGCAACGTGTCCCCTCCAAGCTGTGTCAGTCACGAATGAAAGGGTTTTTTTTCCTGCCTAGGGCTTGCAAAGCAACAGCCCTGTGTGCTCCCCCAGCCTGGCTGCTCTGCCTGTAGTGCATGCTCCATGTGCTCGATGTGCTCATGGCAATAACACAGAGGAGGGGTACTGTGGCAGCAGCCAGCCTGGTGAGCTATGCCTCCTGATGGACAGACAGCAGGGGAAATGTGCTCTGGCTATTAAGAGCTGGCAGCATTCCTCAGAACTGCTCTATGGGGAGAAACCATCTCTAGCCTGTGTGGCTGGGTAGGGACCAGTGCTCTGCAACACCTGCTGCCTTGCAGCCCTGGGCTGCAATGATGGATGATGGATAATGTGTTCCTCAAGGCAGATGGAAGTGGGATTTTTCTCTTCTGCCTCTGTGGGAGCTGTCTGGACACTGGATCCACCGTGGTTCTGAATTGCTGCTGTTCCACTGACCTGGGGAGGGTTTATGGGTTTGAGTGAGGCTCGGTCATAGCTGTAGGGATCTAGGGGGTCTGCTGGATTCTGCTGCCTCTCTGTCTGTGTCACTCCAGCTGCTGGCTGCACAGCCAGGGGTGCTCAGCTGTGTCTCAGGGCAGGACCCTGGGTTGTGGGGGGAGCACAGGGCTGGGCTCTCTCGTCAGAAGTCCTGTATTACAGCTTAATCTGGCATTAGCGCATTAATCCAGTCCTCCCCACAGCCCAGCCTGTGCCCTCTGCAGCATCCGGCCCAAGGTCTCAGTGCTCAGCTGGGCAGGAGATGCTCTCCTAGCATGGACACCTGGGGGCTGTCTGGCTCCTTCCCTTCCTCTGGGTGCCAGCAGAACAAGTGCATGGAGATATCGCTTGGTCAGGCTCTGCTGCCAGGGCTCGAGCCCCCCAAAGCAGTGATAGAAGCAATGTAGCCCCATGCAGGGAGCAAGGCTGAGGGAAGGTTGCGTCTGGAGGGAGGACGTGAGTCAACAGCTCAGCACAGGAGTGCTGGCAGAGCAGTTGGCATGTGGAGAGGGGAAAAGAGGTGGGAAGAGGGAGAGCTAGAGGGGGTGAAGGTGTGGGCAGGAAGGCAGACGTCATCTAGCTGTGCTGCAAAGGCTCTTCCCAGCATGAGAAATGAGATATGTGGAGATGGGTCTAAAATGGGAGAGGGGCCCTCCATACCTTACAGAGGGGCTGAGAGGATTTGGGGGAACTGGGGTGAGGGGGGCTACATCCTGAGCCCTGCCCTTAGTAGCATAGTCCTTCCTTCTTGCTGCTTAAGCAGAAGGAAGAAAAAACAGACAAAAAAAAGATAGCAGAATAAAACCCTCCTCCTGCCTTTAATGAAGAGGCAGCACCAACAGCTCTGAGATCATCTGCTCTGCACAGACTGAGGCCTTTTGGGACCCTGTTCCCCACCTCATTCCTCACAGGGCACCCAGGGTTGGGGCTGCATTTGGTGAGCAGCAGAGCATGGGCTGCAACTGTGTATCCCCCCCAGCTCCTCTTCATCCTCATGGATGCAGGCAGCACTCATTCTCCTTCTGCTGTGCGTGAATGAAAGGAGCAGCATGGCAACCGAAGCAGCAGGTAAGTCTGGAGCCTGCAGCATACTGAGTCCATGCACCCCATCCCTGGGAATGGTGCTTCCACGTCATTCCCCTGGGCTGAGCACCCCCGGTCAGGGCTGGGGACGGTCGGTGCCACGTGTTGGGCTCAGCCCCGCTCAGCCATTGGTAGGATTTTGCTGCAGTCTGCTCTGAACCAGTGGTTTTGGAGACAGAAGGGAGCAATGCTATTGCAGGGCTGGGGCACAGGGACACAGGGTGAAGGGCAGCTGTGCTGGGTGGGGGCAATGCTCTGGACCTCTCCATTGAGCATCACATGGAGGGAACTTCTCCCATCGGGGTCTGTGGATGGGAGCATTCCAGGTTGCCATAGTGACAGCACTGTATCCTCCATAGCTGGAGAGTCCTGCATGGGTACTCCACCTCCCTCCTGTCTGCCCCCCCTCAGCTCATGATCCCTGCTTCTAGGGGGAATCCAAACAAGGGGATCCCGGGTGACCTCAGGGTGGATCCAAGCACGCCCTCAGCCTGTCATATAGGGTGGGTGGTGTTTTCTTCATTTCCCAGGACACTCAGGTCCAGCAGGGAGCTGCCCTTATAGGGCTGGGAGTGAGCAAGGAGCTTGGCTCACTTGGGATTCCCTGCTGTGGGCGCTGGCAGAGGGACAGGAGTAAGATTGTGGCGAGGAGCTACTAGTGACCCACATCCCTTAATCCCTGTTCTGCCCCTGCGTCATGCCTCTTCCTAAGCCCTGACGCCCGCTCCCTTGATGAGGACACGTATCCCTGCCCTGGCTATGATGAAGCCAGCTATATCCAGCTGCCCCCCCCCTATCATTTACCTTTGTAAATAATAGGGAGGCCAAAATTGAAGGGGGGGGGGCTCCAGCATGAGTTCTTGCTTCTGGCGTAGAGGGAGCTTCTCTTCCTCCCCCTGTTCACCTCCTTATACCAGCCTGTGCAGAGCTCAGGGACAGCAAAGGAAGGTCTCCCCTTGACCCCACTGTTCTAGGCATGGGCTCCCTGCATCACAACCCTAAGGCCCCCCACACTGCAGCCTGAGTCCTCCCTGGAAGACATGCTGCTGTCGGATCCCCTCTCTTAAGCTGATTAGAGCAGAGAGGACATGGCTGAGCAGATGCCACAAGGACCAGGAGAGTAACTGGACCCTGGAGGAATGCAGAGAGGGCAGCACAGCCATCCCTCCTGTGTCTGCTGTGACCTGGGAGGAACAGGGAGAAGGGCTGGCCACTCCCCCATGTGCTTGCATGGCATCAATCTGGCCTCAGCCCTGGCTCCATGAACACTGCAACCTGCCCAGAGACCCCTTATGGCACTGAAGACCCCCAGGTTTGGCTCCCCTCACCTGCAGCTGCCCCAGAGGGATGTCCCAAGAAACCAGTCATTCCCTCTATCTCTTGGAGGTAAGAGCCAGAGGTGGTGATTGAAGAAAGGAAGGAATGCAGGATAAGGCAGGATGGCTGCATTTCAGCCCCACAGTGCTCTGGTTTCAGATGTGTGTGGGGGGTTCTGCTGGCTAGTGCCCCCTGTTGCAGCCCCCTGCACACAGAAGCAGACACAGCTCACAGCACCTCTCCATTTTATTGAAGACAAATCCCTCCCCAGCTGGCAGAGCCCAGCACTTTTCCATCCACTAGGCCAAAGTCCTGCTCTGGAGGGTGGGGATACTTCCTTGGACACCAGGCCTGCCCCTTGGTGCCCTGGGCTCCCAGCATTGCTGTCACTCCTACTTTACCTAGCCTTGTTCCCTGGAGGTAAGGATGAAGGCAGGGAGCAAGGAGCTGCAAGGAGGATCCCTCACCCTTGGGCAAGGCTTTCTGGGGTCTCCAGCTCCTGACCCTTCTGTTTTGGGAGATAGGTGGGCTAGAGGCTGAGCTGAGCACGAGGGGAGTTTGTGGGGTGGGGAATGATTTCTCCTCCCATTTATCTCCGCTTTAAGCATCCCTGTGCATTCCCTCATGGAGGATCCCTCCTCAATCTAAATGTAGGTAGACACCTTCTGCCCTCCAACCACCCATGCCAGGGAATCACTGACCTCCAAACCTCACCAGGGGCAGCTGGAGCAGGGCAGCATCCCACCCCCCACCCTTTCCCACCAAACTCCCCAGCCCCACACCAATGGGATGGATCTGCCAAGCCTTAATGGTAGTGGTTGTTCATGTTGTTGAGGTGGGAGGCTGCCATGGCGCTGAACGGGGCCGAGGGCTGGAGGCTGTGCCCGGGATAGAGAGATGGGCTGGAGCCAGGCCAGTAGGAGAAACCAGCCGGCGTCACCCCGGAGGTCATGAGGTTGAGTTTGGAGATGCCTGAGAAGGGCAGCGGGGCCAGATTGCCCTGGAATTTGTAGAGGGTGTGATCAGGAGCAGTCGGTTGACAGACCTGCGCCAGCCCATGGAAGTCGAACTTGTAGGCGTAGCGCTTGCCGTGCACCTTGGTCATGATGTTCTTGTCGTAGTAGTAGCGCAGCGCCCGGCTCAGCTTGTCATAATTCATGTTGGGCTTGCTCTTCCGCTCGCCCCAGCGCCGCGCCACCTCATCAGGGTCGATCAGCTTGAACTCTCCGTTGGTGCCCTCCCAGGCAATGCAGTTGAGGTTGGCCCGGTCCGAGAGCAGCTCCAGCAGGAATTGCCACAGCTGGATCTGCCCACTGCCTGCCCCAGAGAGGTCAGAGCTCCCAGTCAGAGAAGGGGGAGCAGGAAATGTCCCACCCACCTTCACCTCTGCCTTGCTTTCCCTTCCCATTTCCCAGTGGGTACCTGCTTGCTTGGATACTCAGCTCCAGTGTTTTTGTGTAGTACCTAGACCCATCCCATATTTCTCACTTGTACTCTGCCCCAAAATGAGACTGGTGCTGTAGCTCAGCCCTGCCCATCTCCAGGGACAGAGATCCCTGCAGGGCGAGTGATGTCATGGTGCAACAGCACTCTGAGCTGAACCCTGGCAGATGAAAAGAGACCAGAGCGCCCAGCACAGGGTAGGACATACTGTGAGTTTGTCAGGTACAAACATTCCTTGTTTCCGGGTGAAAACTCTCCTCTCTGAGAACATTGCACCTCCAGGCTGCACTGATGATGCCCAACATGCCCCTGTGCCAGGCTGGATGCTGTTGCCCAAAAGAGCCAGGCACACCTGGGTGTGCCCAGTGAGGCACACAGGCAGCTGCACTGAGGGAGGACAGAAAGGGTCCCAGAGCCCTAGGGTGATGAGAAGGAACAGCCACCTTGCAGATCCACACCCCATTTCCGCCACACTCACACCCATGCAGTTCCCCCTGCACATTCCTGCTCCCATCCTCAGATCCAGGGAGCAGCTGTACCTCTTCTACCCTCGTCTGTCAGACCCCACTCAGACATCCTGACCCAAGCAAGCAAGCCCAGGTTTTTCCAAGGCTGTGTTTCTGGCACAAGATATCCCACACCTGTGCTCTCTGCACTCCTTTGTGCTCCTTCTTCCCCTGCAGCCTGGCACTCACACCTCACACAGTGCACACATTGGCTCAGTTCTGCAGACAGCCAGAGCCCAGTGCAGGGGCTGATGTTCCAGACACCTCTGCCATCATCAGCAGAAGAAAATGGGGGATTTCTCATCTCTGTGCCACATTCACATTTCTCACCCCATCCCCACAACCCTCCCTGCACACTTCTGAGCAAGGCTGATATGTGAACCTCATGCTGTACCCCACCCCACACAAGCAGCCAGGTAGGGTGGCAAGGCTTCATCCTCTGTGCCTCCCCAAGGAAACTTCTAGTGACCCCAAAAGGTCCCTTCTCACGCAGTGCGGTGTGCAGAGCACGGCTGCGCAGAGTCCACAATGCAGAGGCAAAGGGACACCCTCAGCCCCAGCTTTACTGATCTCCCACCCTTCCAAACCATGATATCCATCTCCTTGCCAGGCAGGTGAAACATGTCACAAACACTTGGTGCCCACTCCACATCGGCCCTATGTCCAGTGACTCTAGGGCTGCTCCCCTATATCCCTGGATGGCTTTTCCCAAAGGATGGGTGGACCCCATGAGATCCATCCTCTCCTGGTCACCCCATGCCCTAGCCCCAGCAGCTCCCTCCCTGGTGGTTCCCCTATTTCTCCACTCCCAGAATGGGCTCCACACACCTATCGGGTGTCCCCAGAGCGCTGTGTGGACCCGAGCTGGGATTCCATGCCTGTGCATTGGGATGGCCATTGGGAGCTCAGCTCCCAGTGAAGTAGCCCCAGCCTGAGGCAGCAAGCACCAGGGCATCTTGTACCATATGGGAAACCCCAGTGGATAGGACTAGCAGAGGGGAAAGTGCCCCAGGGGTCCCTGTTGCAAGAGGATGGCAGGGAGAGAGGCAGGTTTCTGGGACAAGGAGTGGGGAAAGGGTTGGGTTTTCTTACCTTTCTGCACGCCCGGGTTGAGGGATCCCCATGCCTGGCTCTTGCCGTCTTTGAATAAAGTTTCCCCCACTGGATCTGTGGGAAAAAAAAGGGGTGCGAGTGTGGGGAGGGCTGGGGCCAGGCGGGACTGTGACCCCACGGCCGCTCCCCCTCGCCCACCTCACCGCTGTGGTGAAGCCAGGAAACGCGTCCAGGAAAAAGGAAATCCGATTTCTGACAGAGCTGAGGAAGCTTTTATATAGGAATAGAAAATCCCGCAGGCTGAGGTAGGGGAACGGGAAGGAGAGAGGGGAGAGTGAAAGGGATGGGATGGAAGGATGGGTGGATGGATGGAGTAGCGGAGGGTTGGGTGGATGGAAGTGAAGGAAGGGTGTTGGGGAGTGGGGAAAGGGAAAGAAAGAGAGGTGGATGGAAAGAAGTGGTGGGTGGGTGAATGAATGGATGAGTGGTTGGATGGAGGGGTGGGTGGTTGGATGAATGGGTGAGTGGATGGATGGTTCGGTGTATGGAGGGAGGGAGAGAGGGAAGGGAAGATGAGAGTCAGATGGAGGGACAGCTAATAGGTAAGAGTGGGAAAATGGGCTGATGGAAGGGATGGTGGATAGACAGAGGCAACAGAAAGAGGGACGGGTGGGTGGGGTGGGTGGGTGGATGGAAGGATGGGTTGGAAGGATGAGCTGGAAGGACAGAAGGGTGGCTGGATGGATGGAAGGGCAGCAGGATGGCAGGTGGGTGATGAAGGATGGAAGAAAGGAAGGAAGGAAGAAAGGAAGGAAGGATGGATGGAAGGAAGGAAGAAAGGAAGGAAGAAAGGAAGGAAGAAAGGAAGGAAGAAAGGAAGGAAGAAAGGAAGGAAGAAAGGAAGGATGGATGGAAGGAAGGAAGGAAGGAAAGAAGGAAGGAAGGAAAGAAGGAAGAAAGCAAGGAAGGAAGGAAGAAAGCAAGGAAGGAAGGAAGATGAAGGGTGTGCAGATGTGAAAAGCTGCAAGAGCAGAAGGGACGGTATGTGAGGAAGGCAGGGTTGGTGCCGCAGGGGCCGGGGCAGGGCGGGGGCCGGGGTGCGCTGTGTTGCGGGGGGGTCCGCCCGTACCTGGCAGGTACATGTTGAGCAGCAGTGGCACCGCTCCGGCGCCGTGTCTCATGGCAGCTGTGGGGGCGGCCCGCGGGCTGCATGTTTTAATATTCCTGCCCCTATTATTATTATTATTATTCCACTTTATCAGGGAGCAGCTGATGGCGAATAAATGGCAGCGGGACGGGCAGGGGACGGGCAGGGGCCGAGGGAGGCGGGGAGGAGGGGGAGTTTCCAGGCAACTCGCAGGGGCTCGGGGCCCCGGCTCCAGCAATTTCCTCCACTGTAATTAAAGCGGGCGCTGTCGTCGTGTCCCCCCCACCCCCCTCCCAACCCAGCCCGCTATCGGGCCCGCATCAGACTTTAATCACGGCCGCGGGTTTCTATGGAGAGAGGCTCGGGCCGCTTCCTGCCTCTTCCGCCTCCTTAACTCTTCGCAAACACGGCGCTGCCATCCCGGCTGCGAGTGGGGCTCGGACACTGCCTGGAGACCGCCGGGCCACGGCCCTCCCCGGGCTCCCCTTGCTGCACAGTACCGTGCCCCCGCATCACCCCGCTCGGCATTACCCTCTGCCCCGTGCCCCTGCTCTGCCCTCCCAGCACCCCGTGCCCCTGCGGTGTGGATAAGTGGGGTCCCACCGTGTCCCCCTCCCCCCCATTGGGATCCTTGCGCAGCTGGGTGGGTCCCAGAGCCCTGGGGAGGATGAGCTCAGTGCCAGACACTCATGGCACCGGGATGTGGCTCGGCTCTGGCACCCTGCTGGTGCCCTGTTATGCAGTCCGTGCTGCATGGATCTGTTCCCATCTTCTTTAGGTTCTGTGCAGTTGAGGGGCTCTGTGCACCCACCCAACCTGCATGGCCATGTCTCCATTAGCCTGTGGGAGGCTCTGCTGGCTGCTGAATCCCAGAGCTGGTGCTGCCCAATTTGGCACTGGGAGACAGGTGTTCCAGGTGCCTTCGATCTCTGCAAGCACTGTGAAGACTGGAGGGAGATTAAGGGCAAGGAAGGAAAGGGCTGAAAGAGGGGAAGGAGCTGGGGCAACTTCAATCCCAAAGGAGTCCTCTGGGCAGATCAGCCCCACCACCCACAGCCACAGGTGCTGTGTCCAAGTGCCATCTCTGTCCCCTCAGCCAAGAATGGACCTTCCTTCCCAACAGACCCAGAGGTGCTGCTGTCCATCTTGCCCCAGCATTGCACAGCCACCTAGCGAGCTGCTCATCTGCCACAACCTCTCCTCTGCTGTTGCATTGATGTCTATTAAAGCTCTCACTCTGGACCCAGTGGCATTTCTTCATCACAACGTGTAAATGGAAACCAGGATGTGTTGGTGCCAGACTTGTGCTTCTTATTCACTCTGCAGTCCAAATGTGCCATTTAGGAAGAGACACCACAGTCCAGCTATGCAGCCCATGGGGAGGGTGGGATTAGGCTGGGACATCCTACAGCTGGTGGCCAATAACTCCTCCTGGCTGAGGGTGCCCAAAGCACAGGCTGAAATGGGGATTGTGTATTCTCAGCCATCTCTCCACCCTCACTGCCCACCTCCATAAGTGACAAGAGCATAGCCCACCATACAACCCATCAAATTCCTCCAGTCCCAGGGCCCACTGGGATGCAACCGCCCTTAAAAAGTGCCTCCATCTCCAAACACCTTTGGTTGTTCCCCCAGCCCACCACAGCCCCTCTGCCTGCCCTGCAGCCTCTCCACAGCCTCCCAGACTTGCTTTCGCTGCCTGAGTCACTGCAAAACACCTCAGGCAACAGAAAACAAGCCCGGGACACAGCAGGGTGGGGGGAAGAGCCATGAGCCTCTCTCTCCTGGCAACCTCCCTGGTGGTGAAGATCCTGCAGCCATGAACCTGCATCACAAAGGGCATGTGGCAGGCAGAGTTAGGGTTGTGTGAGCTGGAGGTGTGGGGGGAGGTAGATAGGATGGGGGAAGACAGTGAGCATGGGGCTGAAGGTGTGATGGAACTGGAGAGACTTGAGGTGTGCAGAGGGGGAGGGGTGTTGGGGTGCCAGGGTTTGGGGAGCTCTGTGCCCTTGGGGAAGCCAAGGGGTGGCAGGCTTTGGGGACCCAAGAGGCATTGTCCTGAGTTTATGGTGGAGCAGGGACAAATGTGAGCTGGGACAGATCCACAGGATGAGGAGAAATAAAGGGGATGGGGCCAAAGTTCATGGGACAATCAGGGGACGGGGGATGTCTAGAGGAGATAAGGGCTCAGGTCCATAGGGTTCCTGGTGAGGGGTCTGGGATCCCTGGAGCACCCCACTGGCAACAGCAGATGGCTCACCCCCCACCCCCAATCCAGCAATCTCACCCCTTCAGGTTAGGGCAGAGCAGTCCCCATGTCTTCCGTGGCAGTTCCCCCCATCACTGCCCTGTGAGTCGGTGCCCAGGAGGTCTTTACCTGCAGGCGGGCGGCGTGGAACGCAGTGGCAAGCTGACGTGGCCTTGGGTTCCCTGCAGCCCGGCTGCTGTGCAGGAATGTGTTTGTGCAGGGGGAGAGGCCGAGCAGCCGTGGGGCCGTGGTGGGGTGGGGACAAAAGAGGGCTGGGAGAGGCTCAGTGGGGACGCCCTGCAGCATGGCACTGGGAGACTGCATGGGTGCAGGGGGCATTTACGTGGATCATACTGCTGTGGAATGAGAGGAGTATGGAATTGTAAGGTTTGAATGTGTACACTGAGTGCAAGCTCCTGTTCAGTGCACATGCGCACACACATGGACCCCAGAGCTAGGGTTTTTGGGTGCAGGGTTTGCACACAGACAGGTGTGGCCCCATTCTAGACTCCCCACCAGCCTCCCAGCCCCAAGGCCAGCTGCACTGGAACCCAGCACCCAGTGCCCCACCATTCTGAGGCTTTGCAGTGGACATTCTGAGGCTTTGCAGTGGACAGGCAGGGAGCACCTCGGCATGCTCCCCAGGCAGGGAGCATCTTGGCGTGTCCCCCCAGGAGAGCTGGGGTGCTGGAGCAGGATGCAGGAGGATGAGGAGGCTTGGAAAGGGTGCAGGAGGAGGAGGCAGGGTGGGGCTCATGGTGTGCCCAGGCGGAGCCGGAGCCGGATGCTGGCACGGATGTGCTGGCGTGGCCACACTTGGGGAGGGAGAGGAATGGGAAACCCCACCCAGGACTTAGGGCTGTGTGATGCTGGGGGATCAGTGGGGCTGAGGCAAGTGTCTTGCCCTGTGGCAGAGTGGAGCGGAGAGGGGAGCACTCATTTTTTGACAAATGCCTTTATTTGCTACCAGGTACAGGTCTATGGCACAGCAGCCCGCAGGCTGCGAGGGCACGCACTTTGCCCCCGCTCAGTGCTGGATGCGGCGGATGGATTGGATCTGGTTGGTGTGGGCCTGGCTGCTGTATTCGCTGTACTTCTTGAACTCGCCGTTCTGTCTGTCCCGCTCCAGCACGTACTGGTAACCCCGGTATCCTGGGTACTGGTATGCCACCCACCTGCAGGGACACCTCTGGCTCAGAGCCCAAATCCCTGCTTCCCATCCTCTCCTCTTGTTGGCCCCATGGTAAGAATGGCACAGATTTCCAAGGGAAGGAGTCCCCTATATTTTGGGGTCTCCTATCCAGCCCCTATCTGGGCTGGAAGTGTCCCACAACACCCATTTTGTGCCTCTGCCACCCCCAGGCAGTGGGACTCACGCTCCAGCGTTCACTTTGATGGATGCCACCTCCTTGTTGCCCCAGCCCATGGCCTGCAGTGAGGGGTAGTCGTCGCTCAGCTCAAACTTGTGCCCCTGGAAGTTCTCCGCTTCATATAGGATGACCTTGCTGTCATTGTGGTTCTGCGGGATGAGTGAGCTATGTTCAGCAGCTAGCATGGGAAGGGGATGTGGCATGGGGGGTGCCATGCCCAACTTTGGTGCAGGGATGTGAGCCATGAAGTATCCTTCAGCCTCACTGGGGCTGACCAGAAGATGCTGCTTTCATGTCCCTGTGGTTCCCACACAGCACCCTTACCCTGAGGCTGCAGGGCAAGGTGAGCTGCTGGAAGTGCCTCTCCATCTCTGTGGGGCTCAGTTGGATGCTGGGCACTGAGGGGTTAATATCTGGGATACAGAGATGCGGCACTGTCCCCCCCTCCATGCCCAGCCCCCATGCACATCCATCTGCACCGTGGAGCGGTCCTGCCAGCGAGGAGTGATCTTATCGCGTCCTCTTTATTAAAGCCCGAGCATATCTGCCTGGTGATTATTAAAAGTTGGGGGGGGGGGGGGGGGCACATGGAGGCACAGACGTGCCGGCACTGCGAGCACCCGCAGCCCCACGATGGAGTGATAGTGGCTGCGGCTGTGCTGAGGCTGGGTACTGGCAGGGAGGGGATGAACCTCACTCCTGAGCATCTCCCTGAGTCTGCTCCCCTACCCCAGGCTAATGGGATAAGTCCTGGGGTACTCAGTCTGGGGGTGGCTCTGCAATGCACAGAGCAGGAGTAGGGGTAGAGTTTGGGGCTAAACGTGAGCCCAAATGCACACCTCAGGATGTCTGCAAGGAGGTGAGAGCCACCTCTCCATCCAACATCCCCATGTAACCCATCCACCCATGCATCCCACGTCCACACTCCATCCCTGCTGTCCTTTGCTGGCCCAAACATCTGTCCCCATAACTCACCGCGCACTTGACAGGTCGGAAGGAGAGGAGGTGCTCGGTGCGGTATCCACTGTTCCCACTCCAGGCCTCCCACCGTGGATAGTCACCCTTCTCCAGGATGAACTGCTGCCCCTGGTATTCGGGGTACTCAAAACCCACCCAGCTGTGGGAGAGGAAGGGGTACTCAGGGTGAAGGTCCTTGCCAGCATCAAACATCTCTTCTGCAGGCAAAGCCTCTCCCCACCAACACCTCGGCTTTGCAGATGGGGAAAATGAGGCACAACGCAACGGATGCAGAGGAAGGACCTGGGTGTCACATCTCTCAGGCAGCCCCTTAAAAAGGGATGGTGAGGAAGGCTCTGGGGGGCACTTACGGGCCAGACTCCACCTTGATGGAGCGGATCTTGCGGAAGCCGCGCTCCATGATGCTGGGGCACTCCATGAGGAACTCGCAGCGCTTGCCCTGGAAGCTCTCCTCCTCCCACACCGTGATCTTGTATTGCCCCAGAGTGTCCATGGCTTCGCTGGTCATGCGGGGAGCTCAGCTGTGGGCAGAGCCCCGGTGTCACCTGGGTGTCATCCTCTGTCACCAGCCCTTTCCAAGCTGGTCAGGGGACACCTCCCATCCCATTCCCTTACAGCTGAGGGGTCTCTGGGGACCTCAAGACCCCTCCAGCTGCAATGCCCTCTCTCTCCATGTAATATGCCCATTGTGTGGGGCTGCTCCCAAGCCCCTTGCCCTGCATGCTGAGGGGTCTGGGTACCTGTTGGACCCGTGTGAGATGGCACATCTCTTGCAAGGATGAACCCAACACCCTTCTGCTGTCTATGGGGGGATTCACGCGAGGGGCGAAGGCAGCAGCGGTGCAGTGGGGTTCGGAGGCTCACAGCCTGGTACTTACTTGGTCGCAGGGCACAGAGGCGAAGGTGGTGGTGACGGTTCTGGCTTTCCCCAGCCCTATATAGCGGGCGGTGAAGCAGGGCTGTGAGGGGGGCTATGCGCTGTGTCAGCGGGGGGGCTGGGGCACCCAGCGGGTAGGCTGCTGCTGTCCATTCCACTCAGGCAGTGTGGCGAGAGCGGCCCCCCCGCGCCACCCTCCGCTGACAATGAAAACGCTGGGCTGTGTTTGCACAGGGGCTCAGGGCACAATGGGCAAAGGGCCTGACGCGTCGCTTTGCTTTCTGCCCCTGGACAATGTCCCCGCTTGGCCTGGGGATTAGGGGCACTGCCTTTCCCAGGGCACCCGCAGCCTGTGCCAGGGATGGTGGCGGCAGGCAGAAGCAGCGTTGGCATGGCTGTGGCTCAGCCATCTGGGGAGATGGGCAGCACCCCCAGCTGATGTCCCCACAGTGCTCCATGCTCTTTGCTCGCGATGGCCCCAGCCTGGCATAAGGCCTTCCGTGCTGGGAGAGACTGGATGAGGCCAACATGGGGCCTCCCATGTTCTTGCAGCATCCATCCCTCTTGGCAAGAGTCTGGGGTCTGGGGGGTGACAGCACGCAGCATGCCTTTCTTGTTCCCCTCCGTGCATTGGCTGGCTGCTCTGTTCCGCAGTGCGGAGCTCCCGTGGAGCCCCGTTGTCCCCTGCGGCCGCCTCGTGGAGTGTGAACAGCGTTGTCCCAATCGTGCCGTGCCGATGCCTTCAGGTCCCAGCAGAGGGTGCAGCCTGGCAGCGCTTGGAGCCGGCTCCTGCCCAGCGACAGCGCTATACAGCAGCTCTTTTGGGCGTATAAAGCACTGCCGACTCTGTGCGGGGCACAGTGCGGTGACACCTCCCACTTGCTCAGGATGGCCTGGGGACATTCCTCGAAGTGTCTGAGCATGGGTATGGGCAGCCCCATCACCGTGTGTCAGGATACAGAATGGAGCACTGATTGTTTGGGATGGGGTGGGATGAGATGGGATTGTAGACAGCCTGGGGCTACGGAATGCTATGGAATATATGATGGAGTTCCTGCCCCTGCACTGGAGCGTATGGAATGTAGGCTGAACATCCCATATGGGATGAGGTTTGGGGGATGTAATGGATGTTGTGCTATAGGATCTGTTGAGCACTAATGCGATCTTATGGGCATGTAGCCCTAACAGGAAGCCTGGTGCAACCTTTCGGACAAAAGCACCCAGGAAGAGGAGAAGGGAGAAGTGGGGAGAAAAACTGACCCCTAGGTAGGGGCTGTGCCACATCCCTGCTTCTCTGACCCCTCCGTCATCCCTGCACACTGGTACAGCCATATGTGAGCCCCCAATGGGAACAGCAGATTGAGGGGATCCCCATGGTCAGAGCCCTTCCCCTTTGCACCCCAGAGTTCTGATACTGCCTGTCATCTTCCCCCCTTCCCCCCCCCCAAGCATCTCCTGTGGCCCTAGGCGGTCCCTGCCACTAGCATCCTCACGTGTCATTTGGTCACCTGCGATGTCTATTGGGATGGTGACACGGGCAGGGGGAGGCAGGCGGGGGCAGACAGTGAGCCTGCTCAAAGGCAGCTGCTAATACTGGTTCTGCGAGCTGATGAACACTCGTCCAGGGCCTGCTGCATAGGCTAATTTAATAAGGGCCCCGTGTCCCTCCCGGCTCATCCTGTTCCCTGCAGGAGCAAAACAGATCGGGTTTCTCCGGACCAGCCCCAGCATGGGGTCGCTCCCCCGCTGTGCTCCCCATCCGCGTGGGCACAGCCTGTGCCCTGTATCAGCTGTCTGCCGAGGGAGGGGACATGGCTCTGCCTGGGTATCTGCCACATCTGGCACACATCTGAGGCTCACGGCAGCACACTGCCTTTCCCACCGTTATTTTAAGAACCCAGGCTGGTGGACCAGGACAGTTCCCCTAGGCTCCCCTTGCCCCATCATTGCTGGGGGCTGCACTGTCGCACCTGGGGTTGGAGGTCCAGGACTGGAACTGGGAGGGAGCAGATGGAGCTGGTGCCAGCCCCTGTTTGCCTTTCCTTCAGTTGCCTGGTGCTCTGTTTGTTCTGGAGATGGCTTCCTGCTGCCAGGGCTGAAACAGGTGGCTTTTATTTGCAGGGGCTGGCTGATGAGATCGGGGGCAACACATCGTCTGCCCACCCAGCCTCCCTGCTCCCTTTTCCTCACTTTTCCCCACAGACTCATTTCTCTGGGAAGGATGCATATAACATCCTGCTGTCCTCAAGCATCTTCCTGAACAAGAAGGATGGGTAAACTCCAACCAAGATCCAAAGGCACCCGGACCCCATAGCTGAGGCTCATTATGCCCCAGTGCCATTTGTTGCCTCTCTGCTCCTTGCTGGCTGCGGATGGCACCTGCACCATCACACGCTTGGCTGGCCAATAGGTGCTGCAGGCTCCCCTGCCAGCAGGAGCCATCACACACACGTGTTCCCTGCACAGCCATCCTGCTCCCTGCCCACAGCCGGAAACATGGCAAGCAGTCTGGCAGATGTTGCTGGGATTAGCTCCCACACACAGCTCACACACACACTACCCTGAGGCATTGGGGTCCCTGGAGTGCTGCCAGGTTGTGCTGGTCCCTGTGTGTCCCCCAGATACTCTGCAGTGCTCTGAGTGTGAAATGGGTCTTGGGGTGCGCACACAATGGAGATGGACCCCAATAGTAAGGGTGCACCTGGAGCTGGTAATAGACCCCAATAGCGGGGGTGGACCCAGTTGTGCCCATTGTGGGGGGTGTCCAGTCACTCTACAGCCTTGCTGGGTCCCCACGCTGCTGCAGGAGCAGTGGCCTCACCTGCCTGCTCCCTGCTGTTCCCATGGGGACTAATCCCACCTGAAGGTCAGAGAGGCTCCGCCAGCTGCTCGCCTCCTGCCTGTGGATTACAGCCTGGGTGTGAGCAGGTGGCAAGTGCTGCATCTCCACACCACCTCTGCCCTATAGGAGCATGACAACGACCAGGTGAACTCCAAAAGGGTGACAGGTTCCTCCCAGCCACAGGGGTACCCCAGACCTATCCCACCCTGCCTGCATAGGGATGCCAGGCAGTGGGGCAGGAGAACTGGTGGTCCTCGGGTCCAGAGCCTGACCTGAAGCAGAGCCCACTGGTATCAGCCTCCTGCCCACTGCCCTGTATGTCCTCAGCCTGGAACCCTCAGGGCTCCCCATAGCTACACGTCCTGGAGGAAGGTACTTAGTGCCCACCTCCTACATTAATCCAATATCAGGGACACAACAGCTTCAGCCTCCTTAGCCCAACCCTCGTGCCAGCTGGTTGGGTACCCGCAGCAGTTCAGGGGCATGGTGACCTTCATGGATCAGGGAGCCCCTGCTCAGCCCCAGTGTCTCCTCCAGGCATGGCAGAACCACACAGCCCCAATGGCTTTGTACAAAGCAGCAGGTCCTTGGGCTTGTCCCCCTTTGTCACACTGGCATACAGAGGGCAGCAGCCAGCTGCCACATCCTGCAGCAAAGTGGTGCCTGTCCTGGGATGGTACAAAGTATCTGGGCTGGGCAGGACACTTAGTGAGCTGGCAGAACCCCATGGGGAGACAGCAGCAGTACACACCCACACCTGCATACTGGGCACTTGAAGCAGTGAGCGTGACAGGGGAGTCACCAGGTCCACTGCTTTAGGTCAGCAAGAATGCATACACACACACTGAGCTGTGCATATGCTCATACATATACAAATGAACATGAATGAATATATGCACATACACCTGAATGCAAACACACCTGTATGCAAATGCACACTGGGGTACACATTGCTCCCCAGCACTCCCCCTGCACCCTTCCCTCCCCATGCAAATTGGCCCTGTGCAGAGTTGCACCAAGCAAATCCCCAGCACAGAGCCTCAGGAGCCCAACGTGATGCAAATGGTGCTGTGGGACAGTGGTGGTGACACTGGACTTTTATGCTTTGTCCCCAGCCAGCATGATTCACCACTGCTGGCTTGGACATGGAGCTGGGCACAGAGTACAAGCAGCTTGAGCTGTTTTATTCACCCAAAACCAAGGTGACAGCACAGAGGCCAGATCCCTGCTCTGTGAGGCTCAGGGAGCAGTTCACCCCAGGGCTCATCTGGTTGTTGCTCCTGCTGATTCTGCAGGTGTCCCCTTTTCCCAGTGGGACGTGTGCAGAAGGTCTGCCTCCAGCTCTTGCTGGGACAGAACCAAAGGCTTTTTGTAGCACCTGAGCCACATACAGAGTGCAAGGAGGGTCTCATAGGCTCAAATAGCCCCAGACTGTGCTATGGGAGCACGTGTCCTTATGGTACATGGAGACACCAGGGTGAGTATCTCCAGTGCATGCAGTGCTCCACTGTGCCAGATAGCATCTGCACCAGAGGACATGTGCGGCGGCTGGAGCATGCAGGCAGCAGGGTCTGGCTTTGCTCAGCACCATTAATCATACCCTGTTTGATCCCAGGTTGGGTGGCTGCAAGGGGCTGTGCACATCGGGTTGTGTGTAATGCTTTCTTGGCTTTTGCACTTGGCTACATTTGGGAGCAGCAGACAGAGCACAGGGCTGCAGGCTGTGCTGGCCAGGCTCTGTGCAGTGTCACACATTGTGTGCAGCTGTCCTCAGGCCAGGGTTGGCACTTGGCTCCA